CAGCCTGTGCAGTGAGGTTCAAGGGTGTTCTGATGGGAAACCACAGAAATATGGAGGCAGGGGACATAGGAGCAGAGGGCAGGCGGGCAGGATCAGATTTGCGTTTTGTCAGGACCACGCTAGCCTGCCTGCAGGGAGAGTGGGAGCGCACTTAGCCAGGGGTGCCGTGCCCACGGACGGGATGCCGGCACAGAGGGGACAGGCGGGGACAGACTGGGTGGGCGAGGGCTGGACTGAAAGGGTTGAGGTCCAGGGCCTTGGGGGGTGTCTGCCTCCCATGCAGCGGCAGGGCGCTCCAGGGCCCGAGGCCAGCAGGGTCGGGAGTCGTGAAGGTCAAGGCTGAGAAAAGCAGCCATCTGCTGCTGGCCTTGGCAGGAACAGCCATACGTACTGGCTGTCTTGACAGAGGAAGGAAACGCAGAGGTCTCCGGAAACAGCGTCACATGCTCCCACGGAAATGCTTCCGGTGGATGTGTCACAGAACGTTGGCGCTGGGGAAGCCCTTCTAGAAGCAGGTTGTGCAGTAAGCTCTACAAAACCGAACAGACGTAGAACACAAGCCATGGCGTCTAGAGAGGGGCCAGGTCAACAGTGGTGTCACATTATTTGCTTTGCTTTGTTATTTTTTCCTATTTTTCTGTGAATATGTAAATATGTGCCAATAAGGGAGAAATGCAACATAATTTCTTTCGAAGACTTGACTCCTATAGGAGAGAGCACCCGTGGGAGCGTCTGTGGGTGGGAAGAAAGGAGAAATGCGATCAGGTGCCACTAGAGACGTGCTTGAAAATCTTTATTTGGAAACTCTTTGCCCTCAAAATAGCCAAGATATGTTCGAGGCCACGTGCCAAGCCGCCCGCCCTGCAGAGTCAGCAGCTGCCCTTCGCTGCGCTCCTGTGGCCGCGGACGTCTCAGAGACAACGGGGGTCCCACTGGCTCTTCCCGCCCAGAAAAATGGTCACCTCTGGCACCGCTGCCATTGGGCACACGCTGGGGGTGCTGTCGGGTCCTGTCCCCACTTGATGCCAGTAGCCCCACCCCAAGGTGTGACAACCAAAACTGACTCCAGGCTTTGCCGACTGCCCTCATTCAGAACCACCAGCCTGGGCCATGTGTACTGGCTCGCCTCGGTGACAGGACTCACCACACCTAGGAGAGGCGCTTCCACCCAACAGCCACAGTGAGAAAGTCCAGGCTTCCCAAGTGGCCATCTGTCTCCCTGCAGTGCCAGGCACTGGCTCAGCCCCGGGGTGCATTCCAGAGCACAGGCTTTCTCTCTGGCCTGTGACAGTTGGGCAGAGATTTCCAGAGAGTGCCCCCCGCCCCGAAACCACCTCTTACTGCTCCCAAGTCAAACACCCCTCCTCCAAGGGGCCCTCCCATCTGTGCACGGGACATCCCAGGTCCTCAGCGGGATGTGATCGAGCAGGAGCCAGCTGACCACCCTCCCCCTGCACGTCCATCGACGTGGCCCTGAGGCTATGTCACACTAAGTCCCTTTGCTGAGCTATTGACCGAAAGGCTCAAGGTCTACATATGTGACCCTGCTCCCTTGGGTCACCCCTCCCAGAGCCTCGGAGCTGAGGCCCTCCTGTGCAGCTACATGTATCCGTCTCCAACACATTCCCAAGACAGTGGGCACGGTGTTGGCGTCTGCGGATGGTCGGGACCCGATGAAAGAGAAAGTGATCCTCATTGTGCATGTCTCTGTCTGTGTGCCGCATGTCTCGTCACAATACATAAAGCAGCGAAGAAATACATCGGCCATCTTTTACCTGCTCACACTCACTCACTCCCCCAGCCTGTCCCCGTCCAACGGGAAATGTATGTTTTCCAACAGACTCACTTTTAGCGCGAGCGAGAGACGCGTGCCTCCCAAATCTGCATCCAAAGCCACGCAGGAGGAGAGGAAAGAGACAAGGCCCAACAAGGCCCTGTGAAGTCAGGTACTAAGGGGCAACTTTTCCCATCGGGACCCCAGGAACCCGCCCATTTGCTTTAAGAAAAAGAGTAGGGGGCCTCCCCGGTGGCGCAGCGGTTGAGCGCCGGGTTGCGAAGCTGCCCGCAGCCTCTGCAGCACCGGTTCGATCCCCAGCTGCTCCCCGGCCGCTCCCCGGCCACCGGAGGAGGGTCCCACATGGCGCACAGACCTCTCCTGCCGCCCGCTGCTCCCCTCAGCAGTGTACCTCGGTCCTTCTGCCTGCTCTGCTCCCCGCTCTGGCTCTGGTGAATTCTCTCACCCTCCCGCGCTTCTGACTGTACCCCGTGCTTGTATAAATAAATAAATAAATAAAAATAAAATAAATCTTAAAAAAAAAAAAGAAAAAGAGTAGGCCCTCCTTGAAGTAGGTGCTACCGTTTATCTGGGCTCCATAAACGGAGGCCCACGGGACTGGTCAGCCCACTTCCTCGCCCGTCTCCCTGGGGCTCTCTAACTGCAGGGTGGGCTGAGACGTGGCTCACCGGCCACTAGGGCTTTTCTACAGTCAGTCTGCTCCCTACCATCAAGAATTGGACTCCTGGGCCTCCCCGGTGGCGCAGCGGTTGAGCGCTGGGTTGCGAAGCTGCCCGCAGCCTCTGCAGCGCCGGTTCAATCCCCAGCTGCTCCCGGCCACTGGAGGAGGGTCCCACATGGTGCGCAGACCTCTCCTGCCGCCCGCTGCTCCCCTCAGCAGTGTACTTCGGTCCTTCTACCTGCTCTGCTCCCCGCTCTGGCTCTGGTGAATTCTCTCACCCTCCCGCGCTTCTGACTGTACCCAGTGCTTGTATAAATAAATAAACAAACAAACAAATAAATAAATCTTCAAAAAAAAAAAAAGAGTATCCTTCCTTTAAAAAAAAAAAAAAAAAAGAATTGGACTCCTTTGCTCCCCCACCCCCACCACCCCGAGATGCCAGCCCTGTTCTCCCACCGATGGGAACAGGTTGGGTCCCTTGCAGAGGCAAACCTCAACTGTGGGGTCGGGATCTGCCAAAGGGCTGCACCTGTTGTGAGGCAGCAGCAAGCAGCCCCGACACGGCACTGAGAACGGCCTACGTGACGATGGCGGCGAACTTCGCGATTCACTCACCCAGCAACTCAGGCCGCGCAATACAAACACAAGCGCCTTTCTCAATAGCGTGCAGGAGACGAATTCATAAAACCTGTTAAGTAAATAATAAGTTTTGAATATAAATCACCTGCAAAAGGTTCTCTTCCAAAGCACCCCGAAACGACAATGAATTCGGGCCGAGCTTCTGTAAATGTCAGCCTGGGGCAACTCTGATCTGTCTCACCTGCGTAAATCTCGGTCGTTGACTTTCGGGCAGGAAAAAGCCAAAGCAGTTGACCCGGAGCCTTCCGCCACTCTCCGTGCCCTTACTCTTGATCCCAGCAGGTGCCAGATAGCCTAGCACGAGTCCACGTTGGCTGCTGAAAGTGGGGTGCGGCGCCTCCCACCTGGCCCGTGCTCATCCAGAACCCACCCAGGCAGCCCGGAGTCGCCCTCGTCAGAGCCCGAGGGCCACGACAAGTGGCATCTGCCCACTGCTTGGGCAATGCATTGGCAGGGACACCAGAAGCAGCTTCAGGAGCCTGGGGCAGGGCGGGCTCTTACCCACTAGGGAACACCACGGCTCAGCGGAGAGCACGGACCGATGAGCGCCCCTCGGCTTCAGGTTCTCACGTGCAGAAGACAGAGACCACCCAGGAGAGCGAGAGGAACCAAGTGCCCCGGGGCAGGCAGGGAACCGGCTACAGCAGGCGCAGCCACCACAGGCCACAACTCCGGCCAAAGGAAGACAGTGGGCAGAGGGCCCGGGATGGCTGGATTCGATTTCAACCCAACCCTGGGCCTGGATCCAGGCTCCTCAGAGCTCTAACCTGCCAGGTGGACTTAGGCAAAGAAAAGGGAAACAAGCCCGCTTGGGAATGTGCACCCACATGGCTCCCATGGCGGGGTCCATGCCCTGGGGAACCTGGAGGGCGTCGGTGAGCAGCCCGAGGTAGGCACGAGGCGGCCTTCACCATCATTCAGAGAAAACAAACATGCCGTCTGCAGCCAGACCAGGGCTCGAGGCACCGTGCCTGCTCTCCCCTCACTTTTCAAGTCACTGAAGATGCATGTAGGCTGAGTTTATTCCGCAAATAATTGAAAGCAGAGATTGGAACAGATGTTTGCACACCCACGTCTCCACTCTAGTCAAAGTGTGGAAAGAACTCAAGTGTCCCTCAGGAGATGAGGGGGTAAGCAGAGCATGGCCGGCCATGGCGGGACTGCTGGCCAGTGTCTAAAGGGAAGCAAAATGTGGCACGAGCTGTAACCAGGACAAGCCCCGAGAACACCACGCACAGTGGAATGAGCCAATGGCCAAAAGGCGAACACGCTAAGTCCCACGGCAGCCAGCACAGCCAGAGACAGCAGGTGTCTGGGGGCAGCCAGGGCGGGGCAGTGGGGAGTTGCTGTTTGATGGATGCTGAGCCTCAGTTTTGCCAGATGAAGAAGTTCTGGGCGAGGGGGTGGTGAGCGCTGTAGACAGGGCGAATGGAGCTCCGCCCCAGCACTGCACACTGAACAATGGTCCAATGGTCAATTTATGGTGTGTGTCTCTTACCACGAGTTTGTAAACTGCTAAAGTGCAGTGTGTTACTTAATAAAAAAGCAGAGCGGAGGCAGGGAGGTGCAGCCGTTACAAGTGCTGACAGGACTGCCAGTCACACGAGAAGGATGCGAACGTCGCTGTATCGTAGGAGCAGCCACTGAGGAGGTACAGGTTAGGCTTCAGCTCTGGACCATACAAGGGCCCTTACAAAATAAGATGGCGAGGCACCGAGCCCAAGAAGAAAAATGCCCAGATCTGTGCCCATGTGCATGGGCAGAAGGTGAGCAGAAAGAAACACGCCGTGTCAGCAGTGGCTTTGTTCTGAAGTGCGGCTTCTCTTCCTCCTCCTCATCGCCTGTAATATGCAAGTATTTGCTGTGGTGACAGGTGGAGACACCGGTAAGTTGAGTATAAACCAAACCACAACAAAAGCAAAGGAAAGTGAGTATTTATTCAATTCCAAGTTTGACAAGAAAGGGGGGGTCACATGGAGTGTTTAGGCAGGGGGCCCATCAACACATTCACAATCACGGAGAGAAGAAAGACCAAGGTTTTGAAGCTCTAACAAGATACGGCACCCACCTACTGTGGCCAAGAGGATTGGGTTTATGGTTTTTTATGGTTTCATTTCTATATATGCCTGTTGGTTTTATTTTTTTAGTTTTACTACCCTAAGGCAGCACCAGTGTGGGGAGTCAAACAGAAAAGTTTTTGACAATTTGGCACTGAAAGGCTATCCTAAGGAATCAGCTGAAACAGAAAAATATTTTATGCACAAAGTTGTTCATCACAGAATTATTTGCAATACTGAAAATCTGTACGCAGTCGAAATTTCCAGTAACTGAAGAAAGGTTAAATTATGATAAAGCCACACAAGAAAATCTATCACCACCAGTATAAAGTACCTTTGCAAAAGTCTGTAATAACTGCATACAATGCTGGGGGGAGAACATAAAAGTGCGTGACAAAGCACATGGTGTGAACACGACAACAGACAGGAATTCACACCCCAAAAAAGACAAGATATTATGTGACTATCTCCAGGGTAGAGAACTGATCTGTCTTCTCACCCTTTACTGGGTTTCTCTTCCCATTTTTTTCATCATTACCATATTGATTTTCTATTCAGGAAAAGAGACTTGGCTTACGTCACGTGGCCACAAGGTCCTGGGGCGGCGCCTCGCACGACACTGTCTAGAGTCACAAACGCTTAGCCTCCGGGGGGAGGGGGCGGGGAGTGGGGTGTGAAGAATGGCCGTGACCGCGAACGGGTGAAGAAGAGGAGGGGACGGCCTAGGGGTGGGAGGGAGGACGGACTGGCCAGGAAAGCGAGGGACCAGCTACGCTGGTCAGCCGAGGAAAGGGGCTTTGTGGAGTCAGGGAAGACTCTGACTGCTCAGCGGAGGTCGTGTAGACCCAGTAGTAGGCACTGACGGTGTTGTCAAGGGCAGGATCGCAGAGGGATTCCAGGAAGACACGTGGATTCCTTAAGGGGCAGGGGAGGAAATCGGGGGGGCGGTCAGCTACGGGGGAAGAGGTACGAGGGACCATGGCGATGGAGAGGAGCAGGCGGAGGAGGAGGCCACAAGCCAGAGTGAGCTCCCTGCTGACCCTTAAACCCGACACACTTCGCGCCGCTCCGGACAAGTCTCTGTGGGCAGAGGCAGAGGAAACAGTGCACAGAACGGGCCGGTGCCAACGCGGGGGTGCCCGGCGCAGCGCCGGGCTGGGATCGCTAGTTTTGATGTCAAGGGAACTGTCCAAAGGAATCTGCTCAAGGGCAATGGGGAGGGCCACAGGCAGCGGCCTCTGCTGAAGGCTGTCCAGCTCAGGGGGTCGGAGACAGGTTATGCGAAGCGACAGAGATAACGAAGCTGCTCACTGCGCAGCTGTGTCGCCACAGCCCCTCTGCAGGCTAATGAGTAACAGTCTGTCAGCAATTGGGCTGAACTGAAATAATCTTTTAATATCTTGCCTTTTTCTGCTTACCATTTAACACATTGCAGTCACTTCATCCGATCTGCTGTATTTTTTTCCACAAACATTTACCTTTAAACACAGAAGCAGCACTGGACAGGACGACTAAACATCACTCACGCCGACACAGGACTACGTGCGTTTGGCAAGCGTGACGCTCCAGTGAGTGAGGGTCACAGACCGGCTTCAACAGGCTGTAAATGTGAGTCGTGAAGATTCCACCCCTTTAAGATGACACTGTCTAGGCTTGATCCTACCTTTCTGTTTATTTTCATATTTAGGAAACACAGAAGTACATTCCGGGGGGCTGGAAACTACCTAATATTACACTAATGAAAAATTTCACAACCCTGAACATAATTTAGAAGGCAACAAAAAGCAAAGCTGTCTTTGATCAGCAGTGACAAGCAGAGTATTTTTTGCTTCCTGGATACATGGTTGTCTGCAGCCAACCGTCCCTGAAGGAGAAGAATGCCGCCGCCGCGCAGTCAGGCCCGTGAGCAGTTCGCGCTGTGCGTGACTGCCTTTCCGTACATGGCCTCTGGATTCACTGTCATTATTTGCCACTAACTTAAAATCTCTGGAAACTTCTGGCCGAGTTTCCCACATGTCACGCCTGCCGTTTACTGAACATATTTATTGGACGGAGAAACCGCACATTCATCTTCTCAAGCAATTTTTTTTTTAGATTTTTGAAATGTTGAGGTCTTAGAAAAAAGTATCTTAGATGTTAGAAATAAAATTTAGACTTTTAAGGGCCTTGGCAGCTTGCATGATTGTTTGACTTTACATTTTAAAAAGAAACACGGATTACAGGTTGGCCTTGTATTTTGAATCTACTGGGCCAGAAATCATCACCAAAAGAACCAGGAACTTGGTGTCAAACCTCATTTGCTACGTGGTTACTTTCAGAACTGTACTAAACTCCACAAACACGGAGAGTATTTGCTGAGTATAGCGCTCCGTTTGCTCACGTAGGCTTGCTATCTCAAGAAAGGCAATGTCAGTTTGTTCGTCTGGTACTTACTCATGGTCAATAAGGGAGGGAGGGCTGTTCAAACGAGGGAGAGGCTCAGCCCAGCCCTACATCGGCCAATTGGAAACTAATCAAAAAGTAACTCAATCAAAGGTTCGGCTGTTGCACATCCTGAGGCCGACCCCCCGGGCGGCTTCTGAAACGGGTATTTACAGATCTTCAGCCTAACGCCTCCCACTGGCTGGAAGGGGCTCACCGTATCTGCCGTCTGCGAGGGACACTCAAGGCATCAGTGACGGGGGGAGGGCCCCCCTTGGGAGCCATTATATACATTGTGGTCCTGCCAAGGGTCGGAATCAACAAAATACAGTTCCCCTGCATGGACCTCAGAAAAGTTAGCCAGAAACTCACGGGGGTCGAAGCTAACCCACACGGTGTACCTGTAGTCTATCGTGCGGATGGAATAGCCCATGACCTTGATATCTTTTAAACTCGGCTTGTCCGAGTTCCACTGAGGAGAGTCCGCAGGCCGGGGGTACTGGCTGTAGGCGATCGACTCACGGGGACCACCCAAGAGCCCCGGCTCGACTTCCACACTGGACGATCGGAAATACTTCAGCAGGCTCTGGCCTTCTCTGCACAGCTCGACATGAAAGGAGGGCACAGGGCAGAGGGGCGGCACATGCAGCCCTGCGAGGCCTGCGAGTGTGGGGAAGAGAGCGACGAGTTCCACGGGGTCCAGGACTGACTGGCCTGTAACAGGAAGCCCCCCAACAGAACAGGTTACATCCTGGAAGCATCCTCCGGCCTGCACAGCTACTCTGTTTTTTCTCCTATGCTTAATGTTTGCACAAGAATTGAAGAGCAATGCCAACTGGGCACCTTGACCAATGGCAGGGTGCAAATCAAGATGTCTTCTGCCTGTTAGAACTCTCTGAAAGCATCTGCAACCTGGGAATACCAGTGTAATAGCTGGTTCATGCAAGGGTCGTGGATCAGGCCTGAAGCACTGAGTAAAATGTCTGTTCAGGACAGGGTACGCTGAGTGTCACAGCGTCACCCTGGCGATATCCCTTTTATGCACGTCTGCATTGGTCCATCTTTTTCTCTTCTGTGGAAACTACAGAGAACATCAAGCTCACGGCCCCGAGTTTTCTGAGCATGCGGGTCAGAGGCACGAAGTGTTCACCTCGCTGTACTAACATCGCCACCACCATCCAGCTCTCTGCATCTTGCAAAACCAAAACTCTGTGCCCATTAAACAACTGCTCCCCCGCCCCACTCCTCCCAGCCCCTGCATCCACCATTCCATTTTCTGTCTCTATGAATGTGACTGCTCCAAGGGCCTCCTGTACGTGGAATCACAGAGTATGTGTCCACAGAGTATGTGTCCAACTCTGGCCTATGTCACTCCACATGTCCTCAAGGCCCATCTCTGGTGTAGCAGCCTTAGAGTCTCCTTCCTTTTGAAGACTGAGTAATAGTCCATTCACTGCAGAGAAGGGCCCCATTTCTTATCCTTTCACCTGCCAACACACCCTCAGAGTGCCTGCACCTCCTGTTGATGGCAAATGCGCCGATACAATCACATAATACTGTTTTGGGTTTGAACACCTGCTTTCAGTTCTGTGGGGTCTACACCTCAGAGCGGAACTGCTGACACAGATGGTAATTCTACATCCCATGTTTTGAGGAAGCACGAAGCCACTGTGTGCAGCGGCCATGCTATTTTAGTTTCCACTTCTCCACATCCTGAGCAGCGCTTGATGCTCATCGTCGTCCAATGGCAGCATCTTACGGGGTGACATGCGCTGCCATCGTGGTCGATCCACCTCTCTTGTCCAAGTCCTGCCCTTTGCATTGATTCCTGGTCATATTTACCTTGGACTGAGACTGTCAATCTGGCCTTTCTGAAATCTTTGAAGGTTGGAATTTTATACAGCCCAGTTTTATTTCCTAGATGTTTGATTAGTAAGGGGGAAAAGAGGAAAGGTTTTAAGGAGATACCTTTACCAAGGCAACACCTGGCCAACAAGGCCACCACAGCCAGATGCTCAAGCCTGCAGCACGAATAACAGCAGAGGCCACCAGGAGTGCCCTCCATGATGTGGCCGGAGCCCCCAACCTCACAGGCAGCACGTGAATCAAAATTCACACTGACTCTAGCAACAAGAAAGCTGGCAGATAAATCCCCACTGACAGCCATGGTCCAAGACAGCGGGCCCGGAAGCTTGTGAAAAGATGAGGTGGGAGATGAGGGGACCCAGACAACATGTGGCCTTGTCCTAAGAGTGAGAAGGTAGTGAGGGAGGCACCAGAGCAGGCTGTGACAGGACCAAGCTCAAGTTTTAGAGGATCATTTGAGGAGGACTATCTCTAGGGGGTCAAGGGCACAAGCAAGGAGACTGTAGTGAGCTGCAGTAATCTAGCCAGAGAGGGAGCAGTGTGGCCCAGGGGGTGGCAGTGAGGGGTGAGGAGGAACCTGGACAGATCCTGACTGGAGAGTGCCAGGCTTGCTGACAGTGCATCACAGATGGAGTAGGGGAGACGGAAAGGGTGGGGGCAGCTCCAGACTGTGGCCTGAGGCCTGAGGAGGAAGTGTCAAAGGAAAGGCTCAGGGCATGAGACCAGAAATGCAGCAGGAGGTGTGTGAGACCAGCCACGTGGGCCAGGCTGCAGAAATCCAAGGCCAAAGTTCAGGGGAGGGACCTGAGCCAGAGGCAAAATTTGAAAACAGATGGCAGTGCGATTACATGGTTTTACACCAGGCTGAGCACCTCCCGAAGACATCTCCACACAGATACTCAAGCTGTCAGAAGGCGTCTCCAGTCACCAAATGGCTATAACCACGCTTCAAAACGGGTTAGCCTTTTATTAGTGATGTAGAAGACAGAGTTTACAGTGAACAAAAAGCAAAGGTGCAGAAATAAACTGGGCGCTGTAAAGCAAACTTAGATCCAGAAAGGCCAGAATGATGGGCCAGAACAAAGGATTTAAACAGGAATCAATGTAAGTGCAATACTCGACCCACGGCATGGTGGAACAGAAAGGCTGGAATCACCCTCTCCCTTTGCAACAAATATTAAAGAAGATGAGCATGTGCTCATAGGAAAATCCAGATGCTTCATTGCAGCTATACAGCCCCAGGAAGTCTGAGAACTACGGTTGGGGGCCACTGCAAGGGGAGCATTTCTACTGGGATCAGGAACAAGACAGGGATGTCCACTGTCACCATTATTATTCAACACCGTCCTGGAAGTCCTAGCCAAAGCAATTAGGCAAAAAAAGACATAAAAGGAACCCAAATTGGAAAAGAACAAGTGAAACTGTCACTATTTGCAACCGACATGCTAATATACTTAGAGAAACCAAAAGAGTCTACCAAAAAAAGCTTCTAGAAATAATAAATGAATACAGTAAAGTGGCAGGATATAAAACCAATACACAAAAATCAGTGGCATTTCTATATGTGAGCAATGTATCAGGAGAGAAATAAGGACTATAGTTCCATTTTAAATCACACCAAAAACATGAAACATCTGGAAATAAACAATGAAGGAGGTGAAGGACCTGTACAATGAAAACTATAAAACTGTTAAAGGAAATAAAACACAAAGAAATGGAAAGATATTCTGTGCTCATGAGTAGGAAGAATTAACATCATTAAAATGTTACAGTACCCAAAGCAATTTACAGATTTAATGCAATACCTATTAAACTATCTGTGTCTTTTTTTTAGGAAATGGAACAATTATCAAATTTATATGGAAGCACAAAAGGTCTGGAATGACTAAAATAATCTTCGAAGAAAATGGAGGCATCCTTCTTCCTGACTTCAAACAATATTGCACAGCAACAGTATGGTACTGGACCAAAAACAGAAACTCAGACCAATGAACAGAATTGAAAGCCCAGAGAGTCACGAAGAACCCACACAGGCCACCTGGGTGGAGGAGGGGAGCTTGTCCAGGAGTCTTTGCCAGAGGGCCTTGCTCACACTGGAGCTTTTGGGAAGACAGAGAGCAGGATAAGCAGCCTGCTTGAGAGCCCTTGAGAGGCAGGGCTGAAAGTCTGGAGATTTCATCTGCAGACAAGAGGGTTGTGGTCTTCAAACGCTGGAAGGACAGGCCCGGGAAGTCAAAGGAAACATGCCCTTGACTGTTGGGGAAGGCAGAAGTAGAGTGACTCGGTAACTTAAGGATCTGCTGACAATACCCGCTCACTTTTCCTCCCAGGCCCTCCTCGCTCTCGCACTGAAGCTCTGGTGGAGTGATGCAAGGGCACATGTGGAGGAGTGACCCTATACTCCCCAAATCATATAGTTGTATAAACGATTGACAAATCAACATTCTAGGAAGAAAATAAACTATTCTTAAATGGAAAAAAAATTCCCTGGTAAAATGCTAGACAAGTACACAGGAAACTTGTCTATAAATGGGCTGGTGGGTCATTCAAGAGTCTTTATGGGGCCTCCCCGGTGGCGCAGCAGTTGAGCGCTGGGCTGCGAAGCTGCCCGCAGCCTCTGCAGCGCCAGTTCCATCCCCGGCTGCAGGGCGAGGGTCCCACATGGCGCACAGACCTCTCCTGCCGCCCGCTGCTCCCCTCAGCAGTGTACTTCCGTCCTTCTGCCTGCTCTGCTCCCCGCTCTGGCTCTGGTGAATTCTCTCACCCTCCCGCGCTTCTGACTGTACCCAGTGCTTGTATAAACAAACAAATGAATCTTTAAGATAAAAAAAAAATTTAAGAAGAGTCTTTATAACAATCTCCAGATGCTCCTGTATAGTCTGGCTTTTATAACCACACATACTGATTTTGAAATTTTTAAAAACGAGTAATTTGTCAAAATGAGAATAATAAAAAAGATTTTATATATCTAGTGACCTGCTGGAGTGCTGAGCTGTCGAAAGGGCCACAGACTCCCTCGAAAAGTGCCGAGTTCCAGCCAGCAGTGTGCAGGGGAAGGAGCCGGGCTGAGCGGCCCAGCCTGAGCAGGCCCTCCCCACGCTGGGCTCGCACCTCTCCTCCGGCCTGCCCCTCCACCCTGCCACAGAGCCTGGGAGGCACCCAGGAAGATCCGGTCAGGGTTGGGGGATGGCCAACAGGGGCAGGAGGGCGGGCTGGTAGGCCCCAGGCTGCGGCCTGAGAACGTGGCTTCAACACCAACTGCTGCCATCAAGCGCTGTGACCACAGCGGCGTGCATACCTGGCTCCAGTAATTCCGAGGCGGGAGCAAAAGGGTCGACATAAGGGAACAGCCTCTGGCCTGCCTCTGGAAGTGGAGCCGTCCTTCCAGGCACGTAGAACATCAGGGGCACACGTGTGCTGACGTCAAAATTGCTGTATTTGGCCCATTCTCCATGTTCGCCTAGAGACCACCCTGGTGCAGAAAAGCATAACATAATGACTAAAAATGACGCACACCATGGCAGCCCACTCACCGTAGATGCCGTTTCGTGTCCTGTAGCTAAAACTCGTCCCCTGCAGGGAAGGCAGACTTCCTCTCGAATTGCCACAAAAAGGGTGCTTTCCCCTAAACACTACGTTTTTTTGAAGTAAGGCATTTGTCCTGAGAAAGGAAATCTTCAAAGGCAAAATAAATATCAAGTTCCCAAACTACAAGAAGTGATAAGAACTAACCCCGTGCGTTGAGGCTGGGTGCCAAGGCCCGTGGCCCACGCAGACCCGGGCCCCGTCATCACTGCCCTGTCCTGTGCCCGCCCATCTCCTGCCTCCAGTCCCACAGCTCAGGTTTTCGCCTTTGGGTGTGGGCTGTGAAGCTACACTGCCCACATTTCCAAAAAAAAAAAGACAGGGAGCTCTCGCCCGGTGTTTAAGACACGCCATAGAACAAAAACCCACGATGCCAGGTTCCCCGTCCTCGGCCTTCACTGAAAACCACCCTTACCACTAATTTCCAACACCCTTCACCAAAGACACAAGAAATACTCCAAGTTGGAAATTCACAAATCTTCGGATGTTTGCACACTCTTTTTTGATATAAAAAATGTAAAACACGGAGCATTTTGCGTTACAAAATAGCCAAAGCCACCAAAACCTGCCATGGCGGGTTCGAGAAGGCTTCCGTGGTCTGGCTGCGGAAGAGCCCTCTGGGAAGGGCCACCTGTAAGCAGGTGCACCTGCACGGAGCAAAGAAACCTTGCAAGTGGGTCCTGCCATCACAGGGCACAGCGGTCTGCACTGGCACAGGAGAATGGGCACCGAGCAGAAGGGTCACAGGGAGCGTCAGTTCATTGGGGGAGCAACAAAAAACTGGGACACCTCCAGGTATAACCAACTAACATGGGGGATTGTCTATGCTAAGTGGGAAGAACAAAACAGCACCTGCAGCACAATGGACACTGCCTTGTGCCAGGACTACACGACGCGACACACACAACAGGGCTGCATCACAAGTACAGGCTGGCGGCACCGCTAAGCCCTGGCCAAGTGGGACAAAGGGCAGGGGGCTCAGCCCCCCATCCCATGAGCTGCAGATTCCTTTTCCTCCCAACGAGAGCACACTCAGCTCTAACGTCGATGAGGGTATGGCGTCTGACAACAATGAGGAATCATTTCCCTGCTCCGGGTGTGGTAATGAGCATGTGGTTGTCCTTCAAAAGAGCCACATTTTTAAGATACTTTTTGGAAAACTGAACATTCTGTTTTCCTAAAAAAAAAAAAAAATTCAGGAGTAGCTCAGGATGAGATGAGCAAGACTGACTGGGGAGCTGGGAGACTGGGGGGCAGGGCAAGGAGTGGTATTTCGTTCTCTACTATTGAGCATATTTAAAAATTTTCAAATTAAAACTAATAAAGATATTTCCACTTTTGGAAAAAGGAGGACACAGCCCGAGGAGCGATGGGCAGTGGTAAAACCCGGGGTGTGGGCAGGGCGGTGGGGGAAGGGCATGGTGAAGGCTGAGGGCTGTGCTGACAGCCCTCCAACCCTGGAAATGGCTAGAAGCAGGGTTGAAAGGGGTTCCCCCACTAATGGAAGCTACTGCTGAGTTCACCATGAAAAAACAAGTCCCCATAAGGTTCTCCCCATCAGCATCCATCACCCATACATTTGAGGTGATCCTCAGACCCAGAGGCCTGGCCTCCAGGGGTAGGTCCCAGGGCTAACAGGGTCGTTGTAGTAGCACCCAAAGACCCCAGCCTCGCTGATCCCTAGGAGAGAAGACGCCTGTGTTTAAGAACGCAGAAAGGCTCTGAGGCTGGCAGGCGGTCCCCAACACTCACCGTGATCTGAGGTGAGCACGACCATGGTGCCAGTGGCCAGCTGCAGGTCGTCCAGGGCGCTCAAGAGGCGGCCGACCTGGGTATCCATGTATGAAACTGACGCAAAGTAGCTTTGGCGGATCTTCCGCTACAAATCCAAAACAGGTAACGAAGGTGACTGAGTTCAGTGGCTGAGCTGGCACATCCGCCATGTCCCCTGAGCAGCCCTCCCGGGCAGCCCCCGCTGATGCCTTCGATGGTCTTCTCCACCCGACCCCACTGCTCGCTGCCTCCCCACGCCTGCGCTCCTGTGCAACCCACACGGCCAGAAGTCCCGTTCTTCTTAAAGCAAATCAGTTTTCACTTTAGCACAGAGATCTCAGCAGACGCGGGGCGCCACTGTCCCCCTCCCAGCAGGGCGCGCAGGTCTTCCCAAGCAAGGGCCGGCCGGCACACGGAGCTCTGGTGTGAGTGGCCTAGGGCGCCCGGCATATTCCAGGGACTCAGGTCGCTGCGCTGGACACACACTTGTTTAAAGAACAAATCAAGCCACGCCTGCTGCAGTGGCTTAGGGAGGTGTGCTGAAGGAGCGAGGGGGCAGTGCGGATTTAAGGGGCTTAGGAGATCAAGTAGGAGAGGGGAGCAGGGAGGATGAGGACCACAAGAGCACGCCAGGTGTTTCACTTAGCTGAGGCAGGATCTCAAGGTGAAGCAGCAGCCAGAACAAGCCACACTTCGCTTTCTCCCCCAAGGTCAGGCCGGGTGAGGGGGAGCAGTCCGGGGAGAGGGCAGGGAGCAGGTGTACAGTCTGCAGTGAAGGGCTGGGAAGGAGGGAAGACCCCACTGCAGGGATGGGAAGGGGGCTCGGTTGGCCAAGTTCCTGCTGCTCTTCTGAGACCCAGGGGAAGCCTTGAGCCCGGCGCATGAGAGCGCACACACCCCACACGCGTGCACAGGTACAATTCCAGCTGTTGGTAAGGGAGGCTACCAATAGTAGTGCCCACTTACCACCTACTTGCTGGGTAGCAGCCGATCCTGCAAACCCCCCTATAAGGTAAGTGTCACCACTCCCATCTTACACACGACAACTCAGGCTCAGAGAAGTTAATTAACTTGCCCAGAGACACACAGCTGGCAAGGGGCACAGCCCAAGTGTACCTACATCCATCTTATGCAGTCCCCTCCCTCAGGCTGTCCCCCAGTCTTGGTTTCTGCAACAGGAAGTGTGGCTATAAGTTAAGACGGTGGGCAGAGGGGCAAAGGGGCTGGCAGGCAGTGGGGAGGCTGCAGAGCAGCCTCAGAGGGCAGATCAGAGCCCTGGGGTGGATGGGACTGGAGGTTGGCATGGGTAGCACGGGTTCCCTCTCAGGACTCAAAGCCAGAATGCCAGGAAGCAACACGACTGACCTGGGCATGACCTGGGGCCAGCCGCCGCCCCGCCCCGCCTGGGGTTCCCTCACCTGGACGACAAAAGCAGGTTCTGAGGGCACTGTAAAGAGCTCACAAAGCCGCAGCCTTTTGAGGGGCCATCACTAAGGAGGGGTCGCCCAATCACCCACTGTGCTTCATGCCAATGCAGGCTTGTGGGGATCCAGGGAGCACGCTTTGAAGACACTGCCCTCACCCTCACACTGCGGCCTGCCTGTCAGAATATTCACATGAATCACAGAGATGCAGGGCTCTAGGTGGAATATTCCTGAAGGAACATTATCAGGCAGAGTGGCTACTGAGTCAGTGTAACCATTCTTAACTGCTGAGGCTGCCCCGCCCCCATGTCGTGGCCATTGGACACCAGAGGTCTCAGCTGGACGGCCCTGTGTGGTACCCCGGCTCCGTCTGTGCCAAGGCCCTTCTAGTCAAGCTGTGCCCTAATTTCCCCAAGACGACCCCCTGCCCGGCACATCACCTGACACCCAGCACAGAGAAGGTTCTTAGTGAGACAGGATGGGCAGAGGGGTGACGGCAGAGGGGTGCCCACTGAGAAAAGCAGTGTTGGCTTTAGCACACAAGGGGCTGACGCCTCGCCCAGGTATGTCTCCCATACCTGAAAGTCCACGGGGACCGGGCCATAGGGCACACTGATGTTTAACGCTTGGACGTCCTCCCGCTCCCTGATGTCCATCCAGGGATTGTAGGCCACGGGAGGGAGGCCAGCAGGGACCTGGGGATCAGGAGCCAAGGGGATGTTCTCCAAGGGATACAGCTTCTGAAACTCCTTGGGGGAAGCACACAAAGCCACCACATTGTCACTCTTTACCACAGGTATTTGCCAGCACCTGACAGTCAGGCCTGAGGGCGAGATCAGAGACCAATGGTGTTGACACCATGTGACCTTGGACTCCTACAGATGGGGCAGTAAAGCTCTTTCTACAATCGAGCCCCCCGCCTCCTTGTCTGCACCTCCCTCTAAGAAAATGGGTGGAGGAGCTGTGGGTTCCAAAGTGACCCCTGGAGTGGGCAGTTCCCTGGGGGGATCCCCAGAGCTCAGCACAGTCCTCCTTGTGGCTGAGGGTGATGGTGGTGAAGGGACACCCAACACCATCAGCAAAGGAAAAAGGTGGGGTGGGGGGCAAAGTGTGTGGAGAAACCAGGCACAAGCTTCCAGAGTCTTCTCCCGGTGAAGTCACACAGAACGCGCTTCATTTCCGCAGCACTGGGTGGTATAATAACACTGGCTGGGAAGCTCATTAAAGCCCCAGCACCCAGGCTTTGGGCTGGGGATGGAGCTGAGGCACCCTGCCTGCACAGTCCCATATCCCAGACCCAGGCAGAAACTGAGGCTTGTGTGAACAAACAGTAAGGCATCGTGAGCCCCTCTCAGGCATTCTGAGAAAGGGGGCAACACTTTGAAGATCCAGGGACCAGCCAAGGGCCATCCTTGTGGGTAGGCCTTTCCGAAGGTCCTCCTCAGGCTGGCAAGGTCAACTTTTCTCTGCCCAAGAGGCAGGAGAAGCGAGTCTCCTCCACCACGGGGCTGGAGGCTCCTGCTGAGAAAGCGACAGCCTCTGGGCCATCGAAGCAAACACAGCACAGCAGGGCTGTGGTCTCTAAGGGAGAGGCTGCACAGGCCCAGGAAAGAAACACAACAGGGAAAAACCCCACGAGCTGTTCCAAAGGAAGAGGCTGCATGCTCTAAATGACAGCCCTCGAGCACAGGACCGGAAGTGCCAGCCAGCAGGACGAGGCCCAGTGTTAAGGGGTCTGACCCACAGGCCTTCCCACTGTACCCTAGAATCATATCCCAAGAACTACCTCTTCTTGCACACCTGGCCGGCCAGCTCTGCTCACTTCTCTGTGATGATCTCACCATCCCACCCAACATGAGCTCCCAGAGTTCAAGGACAGGAAATGCAACCCTCCAGGGAAGGGAAGTAGAAAGTCAAGCACTTCCCACAGGGTTCCACACATCCGAAACCTACCTCTTAGCCTCACCTCTGACTCCCATCTTCACATTGCTGGGCATGCTAGTGCCGCCAGGGATCCCTGGTGACGGCGCAGGGTGGGGTAGAAAGTGCCTACCTGCACGTCACAAGCCCTTCCTTCATCCAAGGCTGCAACTGTCATACTGTGCCAACTCTGCCCCCAGTCAGGGCCTCACCTTTGGGTACCTGAAGGGGATGTGCGGCTTATGGTATCCAACAGCCAAGAAGAAAGGCTCGGCCGATGTTTTCATCTTTGTCAGTAATTGTATGGCTTGCTCAGTGCTCTGTTTGTCAGGCAAGGTGCCCTCAGGCACATCTGCCACATCCACGGGGCAAAGCAGGTTGGCATGGAGTTCTCCATCTGGCCCCCGACATGTCTTGCAAAACAAAACATATAAAGTCAGCTTTTCAAGTGCAAGAAATGGAAGTCACGAAGGTCCCGTGGCAGACTCACTGTCCACGGCAGCAGTCACACCTCTCAGCCATCCAGGCTGGACGGGCACAGGGGAGGGGGACGAGACAGGCCCCGCTTCCGCTCCAGGCAGGGGCTGGAAATGCCCCAGCGCTTAGCTTCTGGCTGCTAATCCTGTCTCCAGACCAGAACCCATGAAAGGAAACCTAAGTAAACTGATAACAAACACTGGCTCCAATTCAACAGTAAATAGAACGAATAATCCAGTTTAAAAAATGGGCTGAGGCCCTGAATGAACATTTCAGCACAGGAGACATACAAACGGCCGGCACACGCGTGTGAAGATGCTCGCGCCACGGCTCAACACAGACACGCGCGCCACCCAATCGGCCCACGACCCACCTACCAGGCTATGATTTTAAAAAGTGGGAAAAAATATATTAACTTTCTTCACAGATTCCTTTTCTTCCCATGATGCTTTAAAATGGTAAGATCCCCACCAGAGCTGTGAGCACCTGGACATGTCCATCAGGCCCGAGGCAGACAGACGGACACACAGATGGACGGAAGGCACACCAGGGTCAAAAACGAGCCCTGCGAAGCTCCCCGCCTAACGCGCGGGCGGGAAGTTGCAGGGAACACCTCGCGAACTTTGTGTGCCTGACAGGAGAAGCACTTCTGCTCCCACTCACCTTGGTGTTTTCGTACTTCTCGGAGGAGGGGTGGTAAGGTGGGACTGACCAGCTGTACGGGGAATCGTCGCTGTGATTAGAAGATATTCCTGGGGGGAAGAAACGACATTAAGTGCGGCAGGACCCTCCCCATCCCAAGCTAAAACTGTAAACAATTTGGGGAAGCAGCATGGCCCCTCAGTTTCCTCATCTCCAGGCCAGATGCTGGGGAAGTCCCCACAGAAGCCACCTCTTCAGCTTCCCTCTGAGGACTGAGCATCTGGCCTCCAAGGAAAGTGATCAGCCAGCTGGGAAGGGTGGCACGACCCTGCAAAGCTGGGGCCGGGGCCTCACCCACCCGCTGAAGGAAGCAGCAGAGGCATGGGCACCGCTGTTGTGCCGGGCACCAACCTGGTGCCAACCAGATGCCAGACAAGTGAGCCAGGACTGAAATCTCGCCTGAGAACACCAAGTTCAGCGCTCATTCACAAAGAGAAACCCACCCCAGCCCATAGTTGACAAAGTATCTGGGAAGACAAAACAACATGTGGAAACAAGGAGGGACTGGCTGCCAGCTGCCGAGATGCTGGAGGAAATCCACGTGACAGCCTTCCTCTTGCTGAAACCGCTCAAAGCTCTTGGCCTCACTGCAAAAGCATGTTACTAAAAATCCACTAAGCTCAAAATTGGAAGCTCTCCAAACTGTACCAAATCAACTAGCCCATTCTATTTATTCCAGTCCTGCTACACACATCACATCCTTGGTTGTGACCAACGCAGCAGGCACCTGCCGGATGCAACCCAGGTGCTGGACCCAAATCAGAAGTTTTTGGCCGAGGATCTGCAGCAGTCTCGGGCCACTGTAGCTGATCTGAGGATCCATCCACAAGCTGACTAGGCCCCGGGACTCAGGAAAATGAGGGAAGCGGGCCTGTCTCGGGGATCCTGCACAGATTCTGCCAGCCATGTGTAATATAAGAACCCAGAGGCCCAAAACCTCAAGAGGAAGTTAGTGTCAATTCTTCCCAGTTAAAACAGTTTTAGAGAAAAAAGCTCCACCGTCAAGTGGATGAATGAGTGAATAAATCAGAGAGAGAAAACAGCAGAAGCACTGTGTAAGGGGGGCAGCGCCCAGGCACAGAGGTGACACAGGAACTGGTGAGGCCTGGCAGTGAGGGCTTCTAAAGTCACTGAGGCTGGCAAGGGATGTGAAGGGAAGTGCTGCCTCCAGGGCTGTGCTAGAGGAGCAGCAGCAGCAGGAGCATGTCACAGGCAGGGAGAGGCGCCCTGCACAGAAAAGCATGGGGTGCCGCTGAGGAGAGCCAGCAGGGGCGTCTGGGGCAGGCTTAGCCAGCACAGCTAGCGCAGAGGAGAGAGCAGAGGGGCCTACAGGCCTGGATTCAAATCTTTTTTTTTTAAAGATTTATTTATTTATACAAGCACTGGGTACAGTCAGAAGCGCGGGAGGGTGAGAGAATTCACCAGAGCCAGAGGGGAGAGCAGAGCAGGCAGAAGGACCAAAGTACACTGCTGAGGGGAGCAGCGGGCAACAGGAGAGGTCTGTCACGCCACGTGGGACCTTTGCCAGTGGCCGGGGATGGAACTGGCGCTGCAGAAGCTGCGGGCAGCTTTGCAGCCCAGCGTTCAACCGCTGCGCCACCCAGGAGGCCCCTAGATTCAAATCTTAGCACCGCTCCCTCAGCACCCGGGCCCCTGTAGCCAAGCCACTTGACCTCACCAAGTCTCAACTTCCGCCTCGGGAAATGAGTCGGAGAAGCAGCCACCTTGCTTGCTGTCGAAGGACTTAAGGAAGCGGGCAGCCCAGAGCAGGCACACCCCTGGTACTCAGTGGGGCCACTGTCAGCCACCACACACTGTTCCTACAAGCAGCGCAGGCGAAACCTCTGTTCTCCACTGAAGGCTGGGCCCGAGGAGCCTGCATGCGAAACCTAATCCTGGAGACGAAGGAGGCGACCCCACTAGCTCTGCTTGGCATCTCTTTCCGAAGCACGGTCCCCCTCTCCAGTAGCTACTCCTCTCTCCCAAACACTCCCCTCCAGGCAAGGGAGAGGCCAAGCTGTGGGAAGCGCCTCTGGAGGTGGTGGCGGCTGCACCACAGGATTCTGTTCAGATTCACCTTCAAAATGGACCCAACTCAGCCCAACAGAATGGGACCTCAGCGGGCCCCAGACGGTGGCGAGTGGCCGGTGTCACCGCTGGGCCCAGGGGGAGCTGCTGAACTGGTCAAGTCCTGAGGACAAGACTGACTGTCCCTACAGGGATCAGGTTTTCCTTTCTTTTTTCCCGAGACCCCTAGACCCTTCACAGACGCTGTGGCCACCGACAACACGACCAGCTGGCAGAGATGTTGGAATGCAAGGAAGACGCTCATGAACAAGGAACTCCGAGTCTCTAGCGGTGTCTGAGCAGTCTTCTCAAGCGATTTCAAGTTTGAGGGTTCTTGGCTCACTTCTAAATATTTCAAGAAACATACAGATTCAAACATAATTCATAAAGACTTTGAAGTCGCCACAAATAATTTTGAACATATTTTCCCTAATGACTCAAATTCCTCCCTTCTGCAATGCTCTAACTACCGCTGATGAAACTGTTTTACAGCCAGGATTCACCTCCTGAACCCCTGGACATGGAGACTCCCCAGGTAGCTGTTCAAGGCAGCTCTGATGCCAGCTTCCCAGAGCAGGCACCCAACGCGCAAAGCGGATGAACCATCTGCCCAAGGTCAGCCGCACAGCTAGGAAGTGGCAGAGCTGGAATGGAACCGAGGGACCCGGACTCCCCTGCTCCTGGTGCTGGGCACCCCAGCATATGTGTGACGGCAAAGGCCTGAAGGCAACGTGCACTACGGTGGCGCGTCTCCATGTGAGACTACCAGGCTGTCGCTCGACACGACCTCGCGTGGACAGTCGCTATACGGGAAAAGGTGGAACTGCACTCACCAGGAATCACCAATCAGAAAAAGAATATGCCCAGAATGGCGGGGGGCGGGGACACCCAAATACAGCACTCGGCAGGGTACTGCGATGACAAGTGCTTTCCATTCTTTAGTTTCTTCTTTTTTCCAACTTCGTGTCAATCGTGCAATTCTTCCATAAGTTAAAAAAAAAAAAAAGCTGCATGTTGGCTGTGCCTCAGCCTTCTCGCGTCGACAGGAAAGGCATGTGCCAGGCAGGTGCCCATGCTGGAGGTCGGTGCCAGCTCACGGTCCTCTCTCCGGAGCATGTGGGCAGCCCTCGCCAAACTGCAGCCCTTCACCAGAGAGCAGGGCTGCTGTGTGGATGGTGCTCAGATGTGCTAACCCAGTCCCCACTGGGCGCTGGGGAGCAGAGGGCCAGGCACGCAGCCAGATGCCCCCCAAGATTCCCTCCTCCTGGTGAGTGCCTTCCTTCTACCTGAGGAGCAAAGGGACCCAACAGCAGCAGCGCTCATTGCTGAGAGGGAGAGAAGTTGTCAGGCGCGCTCATGCCAGGTGAGAACGGGAAGCCAAGCACAAAATTCATATTTTGGACCAAGGCGGGAGCCACTCATGAGGGGCCCACCCAGCCCCAAGAGACCTCTGTCTAGCAGCACCAGCACCAGCCCCAGGAGGGGAGCCCCACGCCCAGGGTAAAGCAAGACAAAACCCAGATTCTGGGTATAGGCAGTACCAGGGTGAAAGACTTTTCCAACCGACATGGTCACGTAGCCGTTCTCCTTGAAGTACTGGGGGATGGTGGAGAAGTTCCCAGCGTGCACCCTCCAGTAGGAGTTGAAGTCATAGAGGCGGGTGGTATCAGGCCTCCTCCCAGTGAGGAAGGACACGCGGCTCGGGGCACACACCGCCTGCTGTCAGGGAGCAGAAGCAGAGGTAAGTGTCCTCAGAGGACAGCAAGCCTGGAGCTAATGGTAACCAGGCAACCACTGGAGTCCTTGGCAAATAGCTTGGCAGCTGAGTCATGCAGATCTCAGAGTCAAGTAAGGATTTGGGCCTAACCCACGCACCACAAATAAGGCTTCGGGGGCATAGGAAGGGAGGGATGGCGGGAGGAAACAGCCCCGCAAAGCAGTGGGGGGTTATGGCTGCTGCATGATGGCATCTCACAGGTGCACAAAACAGGCAGTGGGGGTGGGGGTAGCCCCATGAAGGGCTCGGGGAGGAGAGCCACCATGGCAAGTTGGCCAGCACGCCCTTCAGCTGGCAGAGCTGAGGGTGGCATTGTGTAGCCATCATTGCTTCTCACGCCAGAACATTCCCTCTTTGGGGCAAGAAGGTGGGCAGGGCCAGCCTAGGCACAGCCTCCGGCCAAGGAAGAGGGGCCCCTTTGCAGGCAGACACCTCCTCTGCCAGGAAAAACCCCGTTCTAACTGCCTCCTGCAGACAACATGCTTCCCTGGAAGTGAGATGGCAGGCACAAGCAGACCCAGGTAACAACAGCTGAAGGGACAGCCCCTCCCAGCCCCACCCTCAGTGCGCGAGCCACACAGCACTTCCACAGGACCCCACACCTACCTGGGCAAAGGCATTGTAGAAAAGAAGGCTGTGGGAGGCCAGCTGGTCAATGTTTGGGGACTTTGCAAGTCTGTCCCCATAACAGCCCAAGGAGGGGCGCAGGTCGTCCACGATGATTAGGAGGACATTCAGAGCATCTGCACAGGACAGTAGGGGCTGCAGCCAGGTCACCTGCACTGGCACTGAACCGCGCCCCTCCTGAGTGCTGGGGTCTGAAAGGCCCAGGCCTGGCCCCTGCACCTTGACAACCCCACCAGCCAAGCCTGGGAGGGGTGACCTGGGCTGTGCCCCTGGGTGGGGGTGCACAGAGGAAGCCGCAGTCCTGGGTGGCAGGGCTAGGCTTTGGCCAGGGTGTCAAGCTTGGAGGAGAGGGAGGGAGGAACAGGAGGGAGGGACTGGAAAAGAGGACGGGGGGGTGGCAGAGGGGAGGGAGAGGGAGAAGAGAGGGAAGAAATTTAGGGACAAAGGGGGAAGTGCGCACGGAGGCAGGGAAGGAAGGGTGGGGTGGGCCGGAGGGAAGGAAGAAAGGATGATGGGAGGGAGCGGAGGCTGGATGGGAGCAGGCTGGATGGGAGGAGGGCGGGAGCGAGGCGCGAAAGGGCGGTGTGGGCCGGGAACAAGGGAAGAAAGGAGAAGGCGCGGACGTGGGCGGCACCTGTGGTCCAGTTGCCCTGCGTCGCCGACTCGCGGGAGGCGTAGATGGAGCCCAGAACCACGCCGAACCAGAGGAGGCCCTGGCCCGGCAGCGGCATTTCTGCCTCCGCGCGGCCGCGCCGGGGCCACGGCGACAAGCTGCGGCGGAACGGCCACACGGCCGCCCGGCCCCGCGCTGCAAACGGGCGCGGACTGCGCCACGCAGCCCGCCCCTCTGGCTGGGCGCCCGCCCGAGCTCGACTGCGCCTGCGCGAGTCGGTCCCCGCCCCCGCCCGGGGGTGGGGCCAGCCGGAATCCGGGCCTACGGGGGCGGGGCCGCGGGGGGAGCGTATGGGCCTGCCCCGCCCCTCGGCCCCGCCCACCCGCCGAGCCGCTCCCTGCGAGCCCCGCCCAGGTGGGAACGTGGCGCAGGCGACTCGCAGTGGTCTCCGAGGCTTGGCGACGCCCCCACGGTCCAGAAAGACTAGCTGCCTAGTTGCCTTTGCTGGTGCTATGCCTTTCACCTGGAAGCCCTGCCCTCTCCCTCACCGTCCTTTAAAAGTCACACTCCCCTTGCTGACCAGCCCAAATGCCACCGCCTACCGCAATCTGAAAGGATCCTCTTTTTCCAAGCTGGTGGCGGCCCCGGAGTCCCTGTTCCAGGGGCTTGAGGGCAATAAAATCCAAACAAAGCTATAGAATGGCAGTGGGCACGCGACGTTTGGAGAAAAATAAAGGGGGGGGACGGAGATCGCTTGTTATTTTCTGTAGTCACCAGACAAGGCCTCACTGAGTACACTGACATTTCAACAAAAGCTTGAAGGAGAGACGGAAGGCTGGCACGTGGACAGCTGCAAGAAGGGTGCCCCCTCCTGGCCGAGGGTGAGGCCTGCAAGGAGACAGGTGAGGCTGCAGGGATGAGGGTCCTGACTGAGTTGGTCAGAATCCATCTGCCCAGGGCTGAATGTCGGGAAGGATCACACAGTAGCTCTCCACCTCCGACTCACCTCTACCCCCCAACAAAACAGCAAGACCAAGACTAGCCAAATGGAGATTTTTGCCTGCAGGGTGGTATTAATATTCACATTCCCTATGCCCCAGGCAACATGCTAATTTCGCTCCTCCCAGCAACACCATGAGCTAGGTGCTACTGTTACTCCCATTTTACAGATCCAGAACTAAAATTCAAAGAAGCTAAGTCATTTTGTTAGGGGGAAAACGCTGTCCTAAAGCTAATCCCATACAGGCTTTGTGGACGCCACCCCCACCCCAGGCCAAAGCCAAAGACACAGGGAACTCCAAATCCCATCACCACCAAAGGGAAGGTGGCTGGGACCTGAGGGTGTGGTTCAGCAGCCAGGTTGGTATAAAACCAGACACATGGGCTTTGGGGGATTCCCTTTTTTTGGCTCTCCACCAGCTCGCAGCGCTCGGCCAACTCTCGGAGCGCCTTTGGGTTTCCAGGTGGGCGGATCGGGTAGGACACATTAAAGACTTTATTTCCCTATTTTCTCCCTGAGTTGTACATTTTCCTTATTTCCTTTTCCCTTGTAAATAAACCTTTTATGAACCATTTGTGTGTGCCTGTAGTGGAGTATTAATAAGTCCCTTTTAAGCGCGCGGGTGAGGACCCACAGCCAGGCAACCCGTTCAATATCAGGGCTGCCCTATAACAATTTGGCCAAAAACACACAGCCAGGGAGCAGAGGAACAGGGGGTTCTGAGCAGTCCGCCTCCTCAGCAGGGAGGTACAAGCGTGGTCTTGGCTTGCAGGCCCAGCACATGTGGCTGTTCACACAGGAGCCCGGTTGGCATCCCCCTAGGCAGGGCCAGTGTCCCCCTGCACTCCCCAGACCAGAGCACATCGAGTCCCACAGGGTGGGCCAGCCCCATACAAGGGCCCAAGCAGCCAGGTTCCAGGCAGCCCCTCAGGTGTCCCTCTTCATCCCCACATTTCCTTGTACTGGTGGCTGCTCGGGATCTTGGTCCTTCCCTCCCAGAACTATGGCCTCAGGAGACTGAGCCAGGTCAGCAAGGACTCCAGAGGAAGCTTGAAAATTGCTCTTCTTATTTCCTTTTTCCTTGGCATCTGTAATCATTTCTCACAGCAGTAGGTGCCTCCTATGAACTTGCAAAATAAAAAAACTAGTCATATATTTGTCCTTATCAAAAAGCCATTAAGAAAAAATAATTTAGTAAACCCCAGGTTAGCCAAAGAGGGGAATGGGGCAGAAGGCACACCCTGCTCCTGCCTCTCCAGCTGCTGCGGTTCTCTTGTGGACATCTTTCAAGTGGGCCGGTGTTTCCAAGTACCGCCACATCCAGGCCAGGAGGAGGGAAGGGGGCTACATGACGGATAAAGAGGCTGAGCGGTCCTTGCCTGCCCACCCCCAGGGAACAGTCTGTGGGGAGGAGGGACAGCGTATAATCCCATCTCCATCATGCAGGTGAACTTCTGACTTCTGAAAGAAGAGTTTCTCCAGAGGAACAATCTGATGTGAAGACAAATTCGCTCCCTCCCACACGGATTCAAGCCTTCCCACCCCAGGGGCAGCAGGAGAGCCTGTTCTCCTGACAGATGATAGCAACTTGCATTTGAGTATGTGGACTCCTCTCTCTCTTACTGGGAGAGTTTAGGCTTGAATGAAGGTGACAGCATGGGCACAACCACCGTAAGGAGACCTCCCTTTGAATGTCTTCTAACCACTAGAACATGCTGCAAGTGAGGCAGGGTGTCATGCCTGCGATGACTACAGAGGAGTCCAGCTTGCTGGCACACAGTACAGAATATCTATCTCCTGCCCCTGGAGAGGGTCGCGCGGCAGGGAGACAGGGACAGCCTGAGGGTGGCCTCCAGCCACAGCCAAGAAGAAGCCCAAAACTTGGTCCTGGAAGCACAAGGAAATGGATGGCCCACAACAACGTAAACTCAAGCTCCAGAAAGGAATGCAGCCAACCTCTTCCCCCAGCCTGTGAGGTCTGAGCCAAAGACCAGCTAAGCCCCGGCTCCTGACCTCTGGAACTGAACTAATAAGCGCGTGTTGTTCTAAGCTGCTGAGCTGATGGTACAGCTGCACAGCGGGGCGTGTGCCTGCAGTAATTCAAAACCCCGATCTGCAGGAAAGTTCCTTCAGACTTCATGTCTGACATGCCCTGTGACTAACCACTGAACTTCAGCCAAGTCCACATTTCTGTGCCGCACCCTGCTTTTCAGCAATAAAATTTAACTCCTTTGTTCTCAACCCTGATCCCCAAAACCTATAGAACCTCATTCCTGTTCTTAATCAGGGAGGCAGATTTGAGTTTATCTCTTACTTCCTTGTCAATCGATTCACAAAACTGATTTCTTGAACACGTGGTGTCACGATCCGGTCTGTGCATGTCGGGTAGAGCCCCCATGGCTTGGTGATATTAGTAGCCATTTGACCTCAAGGTAAGACCCCTTCCTAGGGCCTCCCCGGTGCTGCAAGGGGTTATGTCTTGGCACTATCAAGCTGTCGGCAGCCACTGCAGCAGCACAAGTTCGATCCCCGGCCAGGGAGCTGACCCACAGGATGCAGCAGACCTCTCCTGTCTCCCTGCTGCTCCCCTCAGCAGTGTATTTCAGTAGATCTGCCTGTTCTGCTCCCCACTCTGTCTCTGGTGAATCTTCTCACCCTCCGCACCTCAGCCTACACCCCTGCTCTTGAATGTATAAATAAATAAATCTTAAAAAAAAAAAACCTTTCTAGATGACCCTAATAAAACTCAGGCAGATATGAATGTGGCTTGTTGTAGCTGTGAAGACTTTGCTGCCAGAAGAGTCTATGAGAGCAGTTTGAATTGTTCTACAGAAATCACACCCCTGAAGAATGATCCACCAGCTCCACCCAGGCATGTGATGGCTACATTATTCTAGAGTGAAAAGATGGCCTCTCTATCTAGCCATGGCCATGCTCAAAGAGCATGAGGGGAAATGCGAGTCCTCTGTGTCCCCACAAAGCCCAAGAGGCCATGGACACAGTTCAGACGGAACTCATGGGACAACCGCAGTGGCTGGAAAGAGGAAATGCAGACACGCAAGGAGGCAGTGATACAGAAGCGAGAGCGAGAGCTGAAGAGTGGCGGCGACGGACACGTAGTCCGTTTTAAGGAACATTTGCCAGAGGAACCCTAGATCTGAACAATTCCCACTACTGAAATGTAGAAGCTGATACTTCCTGCAAGTACTTAAACACCCCAGCAGCCCAGGGTGTGAAAGCGCCTCTTCAGCGTCACCTGCATCACAGTCATTTCAGCTCACGGAGTAGTTCTACGGGGGTGGCCTCGTTCACTACAACTCAAATATTTAGCTGAGAGCATCATAAAATGAAGCCTCCGATTCGCATGTCTAACATGTGAAGACTGGCACCACTCTGTACTGCAGTGCCCACAAGAGATTTCATGGAGCAGCCAGAGCCCCCATCTTTCCATATAAAAGACAGACAAGCAAATTTTAAATAAATTTCTAGAATATTAAAGAAATAATGATGGATTCCACATCCAGTTCAGGTGAATGAACCAGACACGCATTTTTTTGCTTCCTTGCTGGGTGGGCCCCTCGTGAGTCACTGCCACCTCGCTACAAAATGTGACTTCTGCACTGGCTTCCTGTTCTCAGCCCAAGTGAGACTGGCTGGGAGTTTCTCTCCTGCTCAGAAATGAGCGCTGGTGCTGTGGGGTCCCTTCGCTCCTCAGGTGGAAGGAAGGGCACTCACCAGGAGGAGGGACTGCTGGGAGGCACCTTGCTGTGTGCCTGGCCCTCTGCACCCAGGTCCCCGTGGTAAAGCGAAGCCAGAGTTGCCAGGCTACCATGCCCACCGAAGGGCTGCAGCCTAGTCTGTGGATTTGATAGAAAGAGGAATAGAAGCTGGTTTCTAAGTCTCACCTCCAGCGACCACAGCTTTGCCAGAAACAGATGTATCTGCACACACGGGTTTGCCTGGGATAAAATGCACAGCAATTATTCTTCAATAAAAGCAAGTTCATAGGTCCACAGCTTTGGACTGGATGGAAATGTGCACTTAATAAGCATCTCAAGTAGCTCCTAAGGCCCTTGGCTTCCCATGCTGCTTGCTGCTAGGCCTTTCTGACAGGGACAGGCGAGGCTCTGAGCTACCTGGCAAGGTCGTCGG